TAATATAAGGGGTTGTAGGGGAAAGGACGAAAGGTGTTGTTTAGGGGTTGCGAAAGTGTTTATAAAAGTGGAAGATGTTTGGGAGAGGTGGTGGGTTGGGGGGGGGGTAAAAATGAAAGGTGAGGGGGAAAGCGTGGAGAAAAGAGGGAGGAAAGGAGAAGGAAGGGAAAGGGAAAGAGAGAAAGAGAAGTTTTTTTTCGGCCTCCTGTTGGGAAAGAGAGAGACACAACGAGATACAAAGGTGAAAATAGATAAGGTGAAAGTATAAAGAAAATGAAATGCGAAAGATGTCACTAGCGTAAGAAAAGAGGAATAAATGAATAACAGGATAACCCCGATGCAAAAGACGAACGAGAGAAGAGGCAAAATGAAGAAGGGATCCGGGCGTGAAGAAGGCGTGTGAAGAGTGGAATTAAAAAGGAAAAGGGGGGAGAGGGAAAGAGGGAGGGGGGGGGGCGGAGGAGGAGGCTGTGCTCCCTCTAACTAGATCAATCTCGGTAATTTAAAGAGAGTCGCGTGACTTCTAACCCCAGGGAAAGTGTTGGTTCGGGGCAGCGGGTGAAAACGGCGTGTGTGAATGTCGTGTTTTTTGTGTGTTGTGTGTGTGTGTTGTCTGTTTGTGTGTGTGTGTGTGTTGTGTGTGTGTGTTTGTACTGATGTGTCTAATGGTATACATGTATATAGATACGGGTGGATGTGCCCATGTGTGAGGGGGTATGTACTGTGTGTACGTAGCCTATGTAAGTATGGAGGTCAGTGCCACCATACAGCCGTCAAGCCATCCATATTCACCTCACCGACAAGCAAAAGGACTTTTAACGCCCAAGGTCATCCGATAGCCGCCCGGGTACTTGGGTCCTGTTAGCCTATCGGATCCTACATCAAGGAAACGGGCGGCCGACGGGACCTCCGGACAAGGCTCCCGAGGGATCTCTCGAGTCCCGTCGCGTTTTTCGGACTCGCGAAGGTTGGTTGTCGCCGTCCGGGGATTGTCTTCGGAGGATCGGTTCCTGATTCGATTGTGTTGCCTTCGAAAGTTTTTTTTTTTTTTTTTTTTTTTTTTGCTTTTTGTTTTTTTCCTTGGGGAGGACTTGTATGTTTTTTTTCTTTTCTTTTTTTCTTCTTTGACTGGGTGTTATTAGGGCGTCGTTGGAGTGCAGGAGGAGGGGGGGGAGGGGCAGTCGGCCGTGGGGGGGGAGTGATGGTGTTGAGGGACGAGGGAGGGAGAGGTGGAGGAAGGGGAGGAACAGATATGGCTTTTAAGAGCTAACAGAGGGAGGGTTTCGGGGCTTACACTTTTTGTTTATACTGTTTTATATTGTTTTCCATATATACACATGTGTATATATAAATACATACACAGATGCGTATGCATATACATATACTAATAAACACACACACACACACACACACACACACACACACACACACACACACACACACACACACACATATACATATAGATATATTTTCACTGCTCCTAGGTGTGTCCATCTATTCCTGTAATTACGTACACTTTGCGTTTATCACAAATAAGTGGCGTAAACAGGGCTTTCCGAGTCACTCCACGAAGGCCTCGGCGCTGGCGGCGGAACGGCAGTTGTGCGCCGTTTGCCGCGCCTTTAATTGCCGACTTTCCTTCTTTCACAACATTTTCCAGCCGAGAAATGGAGGCTCGAGCACGGGCGCTTTCCTCGTCGGGAGCGTCGTGTTCTTAGTTTTTTATGACCGTCATCACCGTCGCCGTCATCGTTATAATCACCGTCGTCGCCGTTGCCATCGTCATCAGCATCGCCTTCATCACCACAGTCGCTGCCATCATCATGCTGGTCATCATCATCACTGACACTGCACATCATCATCACTGTCATCACCACCACTGCCATCTCCATGATTACCCTCTGTTGATGTTTTGTTTCATTTGTTAAGAGAAAATAGGAAAATACTTTACAAAGTATCGAAAAGTACTTCAGATTTCTCACTCGTATTCGCCCTTGTCTCGCTCCGCCTCGTGCTCGGCCGGTAGCTGCCCACTCGCACACGATGCCCCTGGAGTGAGTGGCAAACCTGTCCTGTGTTTCACTTTTTTGCTTTCATTTTTTCCCTCTATGTCTGTCTGTTTTTATGTGTATGTAGGTAAGTCTGGATTTATGTTAAGTCTTTGTGTTCACTGATACTTGTTTGTGTACCTCCCTGATCTCCTTCTCTTCCTTCTCTCTCACTCTTTTCCTGGCCCTCTCCCTCCTTTCTCTTCCACTCCAATAAGTACATTGCCTTGAAGGATGATTAGGAAGATGTGAAGGTCTGTGCAAGTCTATGGTCTTGGCCTCTTTATGACGTCCTGTGATAATTTATAGGCGCGTGTGTGCGTGCGTACGTTGCTGTATATGTGTACGTGTGTTATTTTTTTTATTTTTGTTTTGGGTGGCGGTAGTAACCTTGGGGCGTGTGCGTCACTGTTTATTTTCGTGTGCGTATGTGTTTGCGTTTGTTTCTCTGCGCTTTAGCCTTCCCTTATCCCAGGCAAAATATGAAGGTCGATGTAAAAGAGGAAAAAAATCGAAGTAGATGGAACGAGCGAGCTCCTCGAAGGTGGACGGGTGGCTCGAGGCTGAGGCAACCAGCCGCCGCCGCCGCGTACCCTACGGGGCCTTGCGGGTCATGATCAAGGTGAAAGGGCGGCCTGGGCGAGCTTGGGCGGCGGGGAGGAGTGTATAGGGTGAGCAGGTTGCAAGGGACTGGCGGAGGCAGGACACGGGGCCTTTGGAGAGACAGCAGCGCGTGGAAGAGCGTGTTCCGTCCTCGTGACTGACGTCTGACGAGGCGCTGCAAAATCTCTTGCAAATGGATTGTCTCGAGCGGTGGTTTCTGTCCCTTAATCCGTTCTTATTGTCTTAGTTTCGCATGTCCCCATTTCCTTCTAAGTACGCAAGTCCCCGGTTTGCCTCCCACGTGACACTGGTTGAAACGGGAGAAGTCCTTTGACACACGAGACGCCCTTCGACGCAGCAGACGTCCTTTAAGACCCACGAGGTGTCCTTCCCTGTCCTTGGCACCCTTGGCGTCTGCCTCCGAGCCTCGCAGCCGGGGACACCTCCTGGCGTCGTTGTGTATGCGGCGCCCGTGTGCTTCCGCAGCCGGCGTCGGGGGCGCGAGCCGGGCGGCCTCCTTGGGCGAATGAATGGCGCTGTTTCACCTCGTCCTCAGGCGCCGCCGCGGACAGCCTCCAGCCCGGCCAAGGTCTCCTGACGATGACCTACGGGTTCGACTTCCTTTGTTGAGGTGGGGGGAGGGGAAGGCGAGGGGGTAAGGGAGTCTGGGGAGAGATCATGACCTTGGCTGATGCCCTGCCGCCACCTGGCCTGCGCGGAGAGGTCAAGGGCGATTGGGTGACTTGGCTGGGGTGGGAAGGGGACTGGATGGAGGAGCAAGGGGAGGGAAGAGGACGGCGACGACGACGAAGACGAAGGAGGAAGAGGAGGAGGGAGGAGGAGAGAAGTAGAAGTAGAAGTAGAGGGAGAAGGCGAGGGAGAGGAAGGAGTAGATAAGAGAAGGACGAGAAGAAGAAGGGGAGGGAAAGAGGAAGGAGTAGATAGGAGGAGGAAAGAGTAGATAGGAGAAGGAAGGAGGAAGGGGTAGGGGGAAGGGGAGGCGCTCTTGCACAACCGCAGATGAAGTAAGTCTTTCTGATTTCTTCCTTCAATTTTTTTCACCTGCAGATTTCTAGCATCATGGGTGGAGCTGAGCGGGTTTACACTGGTTTTCTCTCGCTTTTAACTGCACGTTTGTATACCTTTTTGAATTTCTTCTTCCTTTTCCTTCTTGTGATGATGTCCGTAGCCTTCTCTCCCTGCCCTTGTCTGTTTCCGCTTGCCGTTTTTAGGTTTGACGTTGATGGCGTTTTCGTGTTTTATTCGATTTAATGTTCAGTGTTTTTTTTTCTTCCATTTTCTTCTTCGTTTCACTTCCTTTTGTTTGTCGTTTCATTTTTAAGTAACGAGTGTCCTTTCTTTATTTGGGACTGATAAGGATGGAGAGAGAGCCTGTGTCGTTATCGAGAGGGCAAGGCATATTCATTAACTATATCTGTTTTCTCTACCCTTATTTTTTTTTTCTTTCTCTCTCATTCTCTCGTTCTCTTTCACTTTTACTCTCTCTCTCTCTCTCTCTCTCTCTCTCTCTCTCTCTCTCTCTCTCTCTCTCTTCTCTCTCTCTCTCTCTTCTCTCTCTCTCTCTCTCTCTCTCTCCTCTTCCCCTCCCTCCTATCCCCTCCCTTCACCGCCCTTGCCTCCTTTTCAGTGTTAGGCGATTTGTCCCTTCCTTTGTTGAGCTTTGATTGACGGATTTCCTCTCCCTCTCCCCTCCCCCCTCTTGTTATTGCTCATGGCATGGCTCTCCATTGTCCTCTTCCCTACTCATTATCAGTACCTTTCCCTTCCGCTTTTTTTCTTCCCATTTTTGTTCGTCTATCCTCTTTTTTTTTATTCATTTTCTTTCCCTTCCTCTTCTCCCCCTTCCCTTTCGTCTCTCTTCTCTCCTTCCCATCCTCTTTCTCCTCTTTCCTTCTTATCCACCCTTTCCCCTCCTCTTCCTATCCCTCTCTCCATTCTATATACCCACCACTCCTTCCCATCCCCTTCTCCTCTTCCGCCCCTAGCCTACTTTCCCCTCTTCCCTCCTCCATTCCCTCCCCCTCCCCCCCCCCCACTGTCCCTTTTCTTCCCTTTCCCCCCTCTTCCCCTCCCCATTGTCCTTTTCTTCCCCTTTCCCCCTCCCCCTTCCCCTTTTTCTCCCCCCCTCTTTCCTCTTCTTCCCCTGTCACTTTTTCCCCTTCCCTCTCCCCTTCTTTTCCGCCTCTACCTACCTCCACCACTGTCCATTTTCTTCCCCTTTCCCCCCTCTTCCTCCCTCCCCACTGTCCCTTTTCTTCCCCCCCTCCCCTTCTTCCCCCTCCCCCACTGTCCCTTTTCCCCCTTTCCTCCTCCCCACCATCCTTTTGCTTCCCCCCTTTTCCCTCTCTTTCCTCCCTCCCCACTGTCCTTTTCTTCCCCCTTTCCTTCCTCCCTCCTCGCCCATCCTTTCTTCCCTTTTTTTCCTCCCTCCTCCCCACTGTCCCTTTTCTTCCCCTTTTTCCTCCCCACCATCCTTTCGCTTCCCTCCTTTTTTCCCTCTCCTCCTCCCTCCCCCTGTCCCTTTTCTTCCCCCCTTTTTTCCCCCCCTTTTTCCTCCCTTCCCACCATCCTTTTTCTTCCCCCTTCCCCTCCCCCACTGTCCTTTTCTTCCCCCCCCTTTTCCCCTCTTCCTCCCTCCTCACTGTCCCTTTTCTTCCCCCTTTCCTCCCTCCCACCATCCTTTTGCTTCCCCATTTTCCCCCTCTTTCCTCCCTCCCCCACTGTCCAGCCCCCTCCTCCCATTCACTTTCTCGCGCTTTGTTATGCGTCGGTCGAGCGCTGTGCTGTGACGAGTACTTCTATGGCCTCGGATATTAGCAATTAAGGTCGAGGTCCCTTTTTCTGCGGGAGATGATAAAGAGGAAGAGGACGAGGAGAAGGAAGAAGAGGAGAGGAGGAAGGAAGAAGAGGAGGAAAGGGAGGAGGTCTAGGGAAGGGAGGTAGATAGGAAGAGTAGATAGGGGCTCCAAAATGGTGTAAATATGAATGAAAAGTAAGGGAGATGGAGAAGGAATTGGAGAGAGAGACAGACACAGACATACAGACAGGGAAGGAAAGAGAGAAGGAAAGGGCAAACGAGAAAGAGAAACCCGGGAAGACGAAGCCCGGACGGCGAGCGCAGGCGGCCGCATCATCGCGACTGGCTTTTTCCGGAGATGGAGACTGCAGTTCCGGCCCGCGCGCGCCCACGCTTCCGGCCCGTGGGTGATGCCGCCGCGCCGGGACCTTGCTTGGGCGCGCGCGGTGACGTCATCAGCTGGTCTCGTGCGCCGACCTAGAAGCACGGTGTGGCCGGGAGACGATGCGCTGACGATGTTTCTGTCTGTCTGTCTGGCTGTGTTTTGTCTGTTTGCCTGTTGCTGTATTTTTGTCTCTATTTGCCTGTCTGTCTGTGTACCTGTTTGTCTATCTGTCTGTCTGTGTTTTTGTCTGTTTGTCTGTCTGTATTTTGTCTGTTTGCGTATCTGCCTGTCTTTATCTGTCTGTTTGTGTATTCTGACTCCATTTCATTAAAAAAAAATATCCTCTCTCTCTCTCTCTCTCCTCTCTCTCTCTCTCTCTCTCTCTCTCTCTCTCTCTCTCTCTCTCTCTCTCTCCCTCTCTCTCTCTCTCTCTCTCTCTCTCTCTCCTCTCCCCCTCTCTCTCTCTCTCTCTCTCTCTCTCTCTCTCTCTCTCTCTCTCTCTCTCTTCCTCTCTCTCTCTCTCTCTCTCTCTCTCTCTCTCTCTCTCTCTCTCTCTCTCCCTCTCTCCCCCCTCTCCTCTGCCACACTTTCTATCTGTGTGTGTGTCCTCTCTCCTCTCTCTCCCCTCCTTTCCTTTACTTCCTTCACCCCCTCCCCCCCCCTTCCCCTCTCTGAAAAGTGTGGATCATCGTAACAGATAATCACCAGGAAGTCCCACAAATGAGAAAAGCTTTTTACAAGCAGAGGTGTTCGAGGACATGTGCGAGCTCCATCCACGCCCCCCCCTTTCCTTTGACACCTGCTGCACCCACGCACGTGCTTGCAAACACACGGACATAAACGCGTGCACACACCCACACTCGTAAGCACACATTCACACTCGTATACCCGTGCACACACTCACATTCGTATCCTCACTCACACTCACGCACTCTACCTTAAGCACAGTCACACTCAAACACACATTCATGTTCCTATTCACTCACACCTCGCACGCACAAGCAAGCACAAAGGCCCGCCTCATAGCCACAAACAGTCCATCCCGCGTGCGACCTCCGCGGCCAAGGCACAGCTGACGTGACGCACAGGGGCGTCTTCGATGTAGGATGTCCGTGTCGCCTCTCGTCGGGGGGCGGAGGAGGGGGTTTGGGAGGGAAGGGGGGGGGCTGTGAGAGGATTTTTGAATGTCGCTGAGGATAGTCCCGCTGGAGGACGGAGGGAGAAATAGGGAGGAAGATGAATGGTGTGGGGAAGAGGGGGGCATGGGAATAGGGGGGAGAGGATGTTGCAGATATCAACGCAACTGCCAAGGTTATTTCCGCCGCGTGCGAGCTCGCTTGCTACCGCCTTGCCCCTCCCCCCTTACTCTCTTCCCCTCCCCCACCCCTATTCCTTGGGGACCGGCGAGCGAGGGGGGCAGGCGGGAGGGAGGGAGGGTGATGGTGCCACTTCCACCCACCTCACTTCCTCCCTGCCTCCCTCTTTCCCCTCGCCCTTCGCCTTCGTCCTCCCCCTCCCCCTCCCCCTCGCCCACCTCGACACGATCTTCGACGGGCCAGCATCGCGTCCGCTCAATCAGTCCGTCAGGAGTCTCCCTCGTGTCCGGTGTCGCTCCCTTCGCGTGTCCGGTGTGTGCCTCGTCCGGTGTTTCTTTTTTCGCGAGATCGGTGAAGGGGAGAGGGAGAGGGGGGAGGAGGACCGTTCGCAAAGAGGATGCGGACTTGGAACGTTTTTGAGATTGCTGGATCGGCTTCGATCGTTTTCGAGATGACTGGAACGTTTTCGAGAATAAAGGCCGTGACTTCGAACGTTGAAGAGTCAGTGGCTTCGTTAACAAACGTTTTCGAGTTTGTGGATTGGAATTCACTGGTTTCGAAATTGTCGGTAGGACTTCATACGTTTTTTAAATGGTAACTCCCCAAACGTTGTGTTAACGATGACTCCAATTTCAAACGTTTTCAAGATCCTCGCTGCGACTTCGAACTGCTGCGGGAATGTGACTTCGACTTCAAAAACTTTTCAAGAATCTGTCTTCCTCCTTCTTCGAGTCTTTGTTGCCTCAAATAGATATTGTCTACAAAATCATTTTTCTCGCATTTTCTTATTTCCATGATCATGTCGTGAGAGATTTACTTTATAAGAGTATATTTCTCATGAGCTTGCTGGGTATTTCATAAGAGCGATTTATGGATGACTCGTGGCATGAGGTACAAGCTGCGACTTGTACCTCATGAGTGTGGGATGCACATGCCTAATGTCAGTGCGTGTGTTATGTGCGAGAATGACTCTTCAGTTTTGCGGGTTTGTGACGCGTTCCTGGGGCGGTGGCACGGTTCAGTTTCCAGTGTTTGCCCCACGCAATGGAGTCCCTATGAAGTTCTGTGATGTGCCGGAGAGGGGGCCATACTAAGGGAGCGTCGTGTGAAATGCGAAGCGCCACCCTAAGGTGTTGTTGATGTGCCCTGGAAGGGTGTCATGCTTGGGTGCTGCGATGTGCCATAGTAAGGAACTATGATGTGTGCCATAGTATAACTATGATGTGGCACCAATGTTGCCATAGTAAGGTGATGTGGCACAATGTTGCCATAGTAAGGAACTATGATGTGGCACACGAAGCTACCATTATAAGGATCAATGATGTGGCACCCAAAGTCACCATAGTAAAGAATTATAATGTGGCACACGAAGTTGCCATAGTAAGGAACTAAGATGTGGCACACGAAACTGCCACACCTCAGCATTATAAAGTGACGAACTCTGCTGCTATAACACAGTGCCGACGGTGCCTCGATGCGCCAAAGTGTGCGACAGCGAGCAGAGCGAAGGCCCAGAATACACCGAAGCACATCCTGTAACCGCGTTGCACAGCCTCCGTGCAACCGTTGCTCTGCAAAGCGAGGCGAGGCGTTCCCCTTGGCTGAGCCTGACAGATGGCGCTTTTAGTTTCCGTGGTGTCATTCTGTGTCAATGGTCGTTTATGAATCATTCAGATTTATTGGATAGAAATGTCGGATCAGAGAGAAAGGGAAAGTTTTTTTTTTCTCTAGAATATATAGATTGGGGGGAAGGGGAGGAGGGAGGGGGGGTAGTATGTGTGTTTGGGGTGGGGGGGCTTTGGGTGTGGTTAGGTGTGGATGGGAGGTGTGGGTGTGATCACGGGAGATTTTTTGGTTTGTATGTAGGTAGATAGTAGATAATACTCTCGCTACTTTTCCCTTTCCGTTTGTCTCTCCTTTCGCCCTCTGCTTCCCTTCTATTCCTCCCTCCTCTTTCTCCCTTTTCCCCTCTCCCTCTCCCTCCCTTCTTTCCCTCTCCCTCTCCCTCCCTTCTTTTCCTTTCCCTCTTCCTCCCTTCTTTTCCCTCTCTCCCTCTTCTCCCTCTTCCCCTCTCCCTCTCCCTCCTTTCCTCTCCTCCTTCCCTCTCGCCTCTCTATCCCTCCACTCCCTCTCCTATCCTTTCCTTATCTTTTTTTTTACTTCGCTCGTTCCATCTTACACCACGTAATAACGGAAGAGAAAATCGTCACGCGAGGCAGCGGGCGGTCATCAGCATCAGCATCCATCATCATCAATCATCAACTCAACATCCATCATCATCTATATCGTCAACATCATCACCATTCTCATAAATATCGTCATCAACATCATCGTCGTCGTCGTCAACATCATCGTCGTTCATCAAGTCAAATCGTCATCATCATCATCATCGTCGTCATCATCATCGTCATCAGCACGTCGTCATCATCACGCCGCCAGGGACGAGCGAGGGCGCGGGGGACATTCTCCATCTATTTTCTTGCACGGGATGTCATAAGATCCCGGCAGTTGGTTTGGGTTTTGGATTAGTGTTGTTTTTTTAATCGTCGTTATTCGTTGGTTATCGTCGTTATGGTTGGTTATTATTATTCATGTTTATGGTCTTTTTTTATTTTCTTTGCATTCCCTCTTTCTTTTTCATTTCATTTCAAGGCAGGGCGATGATTTTGCATAAATGGTGGGGTGGGAGGGGGATGTGGGCGGTGGGGAGGGGGGGGTAGGTAGGAGGAAGGGGTTGCAAGGGCGTGGTCCAGAGCAGAGGGGCGTGGTCGACGATCAACCCGCATTTCTTATTGTGGGCGTCTGCTGCGGGCGGAGGCAGGGATTTTTGTGGGGCGTTTTGGGACTCGTGGTTGTGTGCCATGCTGTTTGTTTTGTTTGTAATGCTTTTTTTTGTTTTAGGGGGTCGGAGGGAAGAAGGAAGAAGAGAGGGATGGAGGATTAAGAGGAGGGAGAGGATTAGGGAAGGAAGAGAGGAAAGAGATCTGAGTGGGAATGGGAAATGGAAAAGGGCGATGTTAGAGAGAGAGAGAAGAGAGAGAGAGAGAGGAGGGGGCAGAGAGAGAGAGATGAGGAGAGAGAGAGAAGGGGAGGAGAGAGAGACAGGTGGCGGAATAGAAGGGGTGAGGGGTGGCGGAGTTAGAGGGCGAGTGCGAGAACGAGGGAGGGGGTGAGGGGGAGGGAAAGAAGCGATCCTGAACACGAGAGGTTATTGTTTGCAATATTTTCAGGAATGTTCCTTTCCATGACCTAGCGACCTCCTGTCCGACTTATCGCTCGCTCGTATGTTATCGCGATTAAGGGCGTCCCGGAGCTGCTTTTACGGTTTTCCAATGTATTTCTCTCCCGCCCGCTCTCCCCCGCTGTCTGTCCGTTTCTCTCTCTACCTTCTCTCCTCTCTTTCTCTTTCTTTTCTTTCTTTTTTCTCTTTCTCTCTTTTCTCTCTTTTTTCTCTTTTTCTCTCTTTCTTTCTCTTCTTTCTTTTCTTCTTTTCTCTTTCTTTCTTCTCTTTTTTCTCTTTTTCTCTTCTTCTTCTTTTTCTTTTTCTTTCTCTCCTCTTTTCCTCTTTCTCTCTCTCTCTCCTCTCTTCTTCTCTCTCTTCTTCTTCCTTTCCTCTCTTTTTTCCTCTCTCTCTTTCTCCTCTTTCTCCTCTTCTCTCTTTCTCTCTCCTCCTCTCTCTCTCCTCTCTTCTCCTCGTTCTCTTCTCACTCCTCTCTCTCTCTCCTTCTCTCCCTCTCTCTCTCTCTCTCCTCCTCTCTCTCTCTCTCTCTCTCTCTCTCTCTCTCTCGTCTCCTCTCTCCCTCTCTCTCTCTCTCTCTCTCCGACCGAATCTCTTCCTCGTCTTCTCTCTCTCTCTCTCTCTCTCTCTCTCTTCTCTCACCCTTTCTGTTCTGGCCTTCTCTTTTCCTCCTCTGTGTCCTCTTTCCTTCCCCGTTCGTCTCCCTCCCTCCACTTACGCATTCCTCCATTGCCCTCTCAAAGCAAACCACTCCTCGTGTTATTGGATGATGGGATAAATCTGTTCTGCGGAGGGGCTCTTTGTTCTTTGTTCTCCGTTCGGTTAATGGGTTTGGAAGCCTTTGGTGGCAGGTCTTCCCTTCTCTGTACCTTATCTTTCCTTTCAATTTTTTTTTCTTTTTTCTTTTTTTTTTTTTTCTCTCTCTTTCCTCCACCTCCATTTTACTGTGGTCTGTCTTATAAGAGGAGGAGGAGAAGAAGGAGGAGGAGAGGTCGACAAGGAGTATGAGACAAGGAAGACAGGAGGGAGGGGGGAGGGGAAGGATACAGGGGGGTGGGGGGGGGGAAGCACCTTCGAACTTCACGAAGTTGAGTCAGACACGTTCGTCACGCATTAGCGCTTGCTCGTGTTTGACTTCCTCTCTTCCCCCTTCCTGATTTCCTTCCTTGCCACGTTCCTCCTTCCTTCCCTTCCTTTCCTTTCCTACCTTTCTTCCTTCTTAACTTTCTCTCTTTCTTCCTTCTTCCTTTCCTTCCTACCTTTTCCCCTTCCTCCCTTTCTTTCTTCCTTCTTCCTTCTTCCTTTCTCTTCCCCCTTCCTCCCTATCTTCCTTCCTTCCTTTCTTTCATCCATCCGTCTTTGCATCCTTCCTCTTATCCCTCCCTCACTTCTTCTCTTTCCTTCCATCTTTTCTCCTTCTTTCTCTTTCGTCTTATTCACCCTCTTTCCTCACACTATCTCCCCTTCTTCGCCCTTCCTATCTTCCTCCTCTCCCTCCCTTTTATTTTTCTTCTTTACTCATCCCTTTCTTAAGTTCTAACAATGCTCGATCTTTTTTTCCTCACACTTAATTCTACTCTTTATATCTGCTAATACATTCCCTGTTCAGACCCCGCGTTCGAGCTTATTACCCGACGATAAAGATAATGCAAAAGGCGCGAGATGATTCGAGCCGCGAATTAAGTAATGCGAACGAGGAATGAGATAATTCGAAGGAGGAATTAAACACGCTTCGATGGGGGGGGGGGTTCTTGGCTTGCCTTAGCCCGGCGCCGGCACGTGCGCAGGCCGCGCTCGATCCTTTGGGGGGAGGGAGAGAGGGAGGGAGGGAGGGAGGAGGGGAGAGGAGGGAGAGAGAGGGGAGAGGAGAGGGGAGAGATGGAGAGAGAGGAGAAGGAGAGGGAGGAAGGAGGAAGGGAGGAAGGAGGGGAGAGGAGAGAAGGGGAGGGAAGAGGGAGAGAGAAAGAAAAAGAAAGAGACACGCCTGATCCTTTCGTTGCCTCAGGATTGCCTTGCTCATGGCTCGATTCTTTGTTTATGAGGGTCTTGTATTTTGTTTTGTTTTGTTAATTGGTTATTTCATCTTTTGGTAGCTGCGATCCACAACTAAGTAGCTCGTTTCTGAAAATAAGTTTTGCGAGAGCCTCTTTCCCCTTTCCCTCCCTATGGCTCCCTCCCTTCGCCCCTATGAATCTCGGTCCCATTTATTTTACCTTCTTTTTCCCTCCCTTTTCCCCGTCATATAACCTACCTGTGACCCACGGACTGCGGTGTACGTTTCGTTCCGGGTGAAGGCTCGTGCGCTGCCGCCGTAAAGAGCGAGTCCAGAGCCGATTTTAACCGAGTCATTTTCCTCCCATTAGCGTCATTTTTACGCCCGTGACTCTTTTCGATCCTTTTACAAGGGAAGTGCGGATTCCCCTACATGTTTATTTAGTCAGCGGTGCGCTCGCGGGCGTGTAATCGTCGGCCACGCTCAGCTGACGGCGACAACAACACAGTCCGCGAGAGGGATGGATTGGGTGATTTGACAGCCCAGGTGGGTCGTCGGCGAGTGGGTAGGATAGCGGAGGGATCCGTGTCATGCTCGCAGTGGAGGAAGAAAGGAATCCCAGAAAGAGCTCCCTAGGGCCTGTGACACCCCCCTCCTGCGATATCTAGCGAAGTGCCCCCTGAAAGAAAAATTGGCACGCGACGTTTTCTTCGGTGGCTTTGAACTCCAGGAATCGGTGTCGGGCGAGTGAAAGCGGACACAGAGGAGCGTGATAATTATTATTCTCCGTCTCCCTCCCCGAGTGCGAGAGGTATGACAACCACGCTCTGATAGACGGCCTCCTGTCGGGAACAAAGGACGAATCCTTATGTAAAGGAAGGAAGGAGGATTCAAGGCTGCGCGAAGGCTCAGGAAGCAGTGATCTTGGGCGGGAGTGTTTGCGTTGCTGCGTCTCCTCGGATTTTTTTTTTTTTCGTTATCGTTTTCCTTTTACTTCTTGCTATTTTTTTCTCTCCATCTTTTCTCATTTCATGTGCTTTCCTTTTATGAGTCCCCTTTCCTTTCCTAGCTTCTCTTTTCTCTCTATCTTCTCTCCCTATCTTTTTTTTGTCTATCAGTCTTCATTTGCTCTCATCTAAGCTATTTCATTATCGCCGCCTCCTTTTCCACGTCACCCTTTCCCCTCTTCCCTTCCTATCAGTTTCCTCCTTTTCCCTCCCTTCCCCCCTTCTCTCTCTCTCTCTCTCCCTCTTTCCCTCCCCCCCCCTCCTCTCTCTCTCTCCTCTCTCCCTCCCTCCATCTCCCCCTTCATCTTCCACTCTCCCTGTTGCCCCCCCCCCCTTTTTTCTCCTCCCCCCCCTCATGCCGTGCCCAAAGTAAGACCGAGCAATCAGAAGCAAGCATCACAAGCATCATCACCATCCCCGCCGCAGCGATGGTGCTCATCACCCACTTGCCAAGCCGCGATCTCCTCCGCCGTCACACGCAACGCACCTTTATACACCCTTTGCGTGCTTCTTCTCATGGGCACGTGGGTGAAAAGGGCGACATGTTGTGGTGCTGTGGTGTTGCGGTTCGTCGGGGCGTGGGATGGCGGTGGTGACTGATGGTGGATGGGGAGGGGAAGGGAGGGGGTTGGGGAATTGTTTATGGGGGGATTGTGTATGATGGATGGACGTTTGTTTTGGATGGGTGTTTGTGTGATTGAGTACTTGTATGGAAGTGAATATGATTGTGTGTGTGTGTATGTGTGTTTTTGTGTATGTGTATGTATATTTTCTCTGTGTGTGGGCACTGAATCTCGAATGGTGAAGCAGGAGCGATGATGGGCGAGGGCGCGAGACGGGCGTCGGGGTCGCGAGTGGTGACGCGTGGTGGTGCGCTGGCGGGTGGCGACACACGGACGCCATAAAGCACGCCGGGATCGCTCGCCGGCTCGGAAATGACACGCTGGGGTCGAGGTGTACTCTTTATGCAGGTGATGCGGGAGGCAGGCGGGAGGGAGACATCCACGCGGGGGGGGGGGAGTTCGCTACTCTATCTATGTCGGTCTGTCTCTCTCTCCCTCTCTCCTCTCCTCTCTCCTCTCTCCTCTCTCTCTCTCCCCTCTCCCCTCTCTCCTCTCTCCCCCTGTTTTTCTGATTTTCTCACGTCCATGCGCGCGCGCGCACACACACACACACACACACACACACACACACACACACACACACACACACACACACACACACACACACACACACACACACACACACACACACACACCATAGAAAAGGTTTGAATGAGAATACAAATCCTCACAAGACAAGAGGCCGAGAGACCGGTTTCGATTGTATCTTTGTTAGAAATACATGTGACGATTTGCCTTATCATTCATACCTTTTCTACATTTGTCACAATAAACATGGTTCTCACGCACATGCACGGACGCATCCCCCTCCCACACACATACATACACACACGGACACACTCACACACATACATACATACATACACACATACATACATACATACATACATACATACATACAACATACATACATACATACACATACATACATACATTACACACACGGACGCACTCACGCTCACACGCAGAGGAAGGAAGAGCAGGAAAAAGGGTCAGTTTATTGCACCGTTGCTGCGCCTTCTGTTCCCATGCACACCATGTGGCTGCTCAGGCCCTTTGAATTAGCTGGCCCATGCCCGTTATTCAAATGGTTTGTGTACGTGTGTTTGTGTGCGTTTGTGCATGCGTGCGTTTAGGTGCGATTTGTTACGGCTGCAAGGGGGTTTAGCCTGCGTCTTCTCAGAGGGATTCGTATATACGTTTTTTTTTTCCATTTTTGAGAGGGTGTTGAAATATCTTTTCCTGTGTTGGTAATCAGATTTAGTTGGGTATGTTTTAGTAGAAGAGTTAAGTGGTTTGGTTGATTTCAGTAATGGGGGAAAATGGTTGAAATGGAGATAAAAAGTTGACTAATTTGTAAGCCTTGAAGATGGGCCTCAGCTTCGTTCCGAGGAGCAGGTCCAGATACGGTGAATTATTAGCTGGCGCTTTTGTTTAATTCCGGAACAAAAGAAAGAAAATAACAGACGGGAGAAGAAAGCGAGAAGTGGCACTGTATACAACGCTGACCTGTGTTACCTACTTCAACCTCCGCTCTGCTCTGGTTCAGGCTTTGTGTTGCATCCCCTTTGCTCCCCTCACCCCCCCCCCGCTTCTCTGCCCCTCCCCCCCCCATGGGTCTTTTGTGCGTGGCATTCAGGTTGCGTTCCACACACTAGAGGTGGGGGGGGGGCATGGGGATGGAGTGGGGAGGTAGGGTTGTGTGATGGACAGAAGGCAGCGTCGGGAGGGAGGCTGGAAGCTGCTGCTGTAGGGCAGTTTGTGGGGAAGGTCAGTGTGGGGATCGCGGGTCGGGCCTGCGTGGTGGGAGTACCTTCGAGTGTTTCTTTGCTTTTTAGGTTTTGTAGTGTTTGTTTTTGTGTTGTTCTTAAGACTCTTTCTTTCTCGGTGTATTTCTGTTTCCCGCGTGCGATTTATAGAAACGTTTTCTTAAGGAGTTCTGAAGTTGGACGAAAACGCGAAACTATTCGCATTTTACGCATTATTATCGTGTGTCGATTTTTCGTTTGTGTGTGAATATTTTTTCCCGTCGTACGTGACTACCGTGTGCATATGAACACGAAATATGCTGACTGCGTGCATATCTACACGTGTGTGATAATTTTCCAAGTGCCGAGCAAAGTGCGTCGACGCTGTCCCCCGCGACGGAGCCCTGTCTCACCCTCCTTTCTCTCGCAGGGAAGATTATACTTTCAGCATATAATCCCAGCCACGACAGCAGCGACGAGGCGACTTGGCGATCCGAGCGACGGCCAGCCATGGGGCGCAGATGCTGCTCGCCCTCTCTCACAGTGTTGCGCTAACTCCGACGGACGCTTTGCCGAGGGCCCTGGGTCTCTTGTGGTGGTTCTCCTGAAGACGGTTTGGTCCGATTCGGTATCTTTGGTGAAGGTGGCGCTTCGGCGTGTTGGCGTTCTCAAAGATACTGGTCGTTGCTTACCAGCGCCGTGAGAGCGAAGGCTTTCGCCTCCGCAGACTTGAAATTCGAACTCTGGTGTATTAAACTTCAAAAGATGTCGAGTATCGGAGCCGAAGCGTGGGCGTGTGGGCGCCCTGTGTTCTACAACGTGTGCATTTCCCTCAGCAAAATGTCCGGTCCTGTCATACACGACCACCCGGCGCCCCGCCCGCCCCGCCCCGCGATGCCACAGAAGCCACACACAGAGCTCGCTTCCGCGGCGCCGGAGGAGCCAGTGCTGACACAACCCACCGCCCGCAAGGAGATGGGCGGCGGGGAAGTCCGCTGCAAGTGCGAGGGCGGCGGCATCAGGAGGAAGATCGGCGACAGGCGCGGCCACCGGTGCGGCCGAGCGAGGGCGCTGCGGGTGGGCGGCGATATGTGGCCGGGCGTGGGCGCGGGGCTCAAGGAGGAGGCGGAGGAGGAGGAGGCCGGCGAGGAGGCGGCCGGGGCGCAGGCCCGCGAGGCGCTTCACAGGACCGTGATTACGCTGACGGGCGAGGGCGAGGCAGGCCGGGCGCCCGCCGATGCCGATGCCGCCCACGCCCGCCACGCCCGCCGCTACAGCACCGTAGTGAGCCTGGAGGCGGGCGGGCGCGCCTGTGCCCCCGCGCGCTGGACGATCGCGCGGGCGGCAAGGAGGGCGAGGAGGGTGACGCGGACGGCTTCCTCCTGCGGAAGGTGAGCCACACCAGCGACTACAGCCTGAGCTCGCACTCCGACTCGTCCGTAAGCTCGGCCTCGCCCGCGCCCTCGAGGCGCACCTCGCAGGACACCGCGCACGACTCCGACTACTACGGGTCGTCCGGCGAGGAGGAGGAGGAGAGGGGGGAGGAGGGAGGAGAGAAGAATAGTGCCAAAGACAGCGACAGCGAGGACGAGGACGTGAGCGGGCGGCTGCGGGCGGCCATGGCCAGGCTGCAGGCCAGCGAGGCGTCGCGGCTGGGCTTCAGGCGCACCGCCGGCGGCCTGAGGGCGTCCCGACGCTGGAGGAGAAGAGCGCCCATCAAGGTGAGTGGCGGAAGGTGTTGGTGGCGGGATGTGTTGGCATGACACGTGACATGGCATGTCGGACTTTTGGCCCTTCGCCATGACATAGGGATGTGCCTTCATAGCCCATAAAACAAGAAAATAAAGAAAGGAAGGAAGAAGAAAAACTTGACGCTTAACTGCATTTCCCTAATCCCTCGTTTTGGCGGGACGCAGTGTGGTGTTGAGCAAGGAAAAAGTAAATCCCCTCTAAATGTCATCAGATTGATTTGCTCAAGTGTTGCTTTACCCCCAAAAGTTGCGCGATTCACGTAACCTCTAACTAGGTACGATTTAGGAGATTTTCCCTAAAAAAAATGATTTTAAAATTATAGTTCAACGGAGCTGTGGTCTGACAAATAGCCGGGAATGGCTAGCAATCCATAGCAGTTGCATCGTCTGGTATTTCACACTTTAAGTACTCTTGGTCTTCAACGTGTGGCGCAAGAGGGACGGCTGTGGTCCTCCTGCGGCCGGTGTTCTGTGGCTCGCGCGCGGATATTTCAGAGCTAATAGGGTCATCATCTTGTCAGAATAACGATAACAATAAAATATGTGAACAGAGAAATGAGAAAAGAACAAGTAGAATGCTTGTGGTATGTTTGCTTTTGTATTTATAGCTTGATAAGACGAGAGGAAGTTTTCCCTTTCTTTTTTTGTGCCATTCACTCGAGTTTATGAATAGAGGAAGTTGAATGTGATACGCCTTTGTTTTCTCCAGTGTTTCGCGGGTTCCCCCCAACCCCCAGCCCCCCACCTGACCTTTTTCCTAGATCAGTTGGTTGGGGATGGAGAGAGGGAGGCAGGCAGGCAGACAAACAAACTCAGACAGGCAGGCAGGCAGTCAAATAGACACAGCAGACAGTCAAATAGACACAGCAGACAGGCAAAAAAACCAGCAGACAGGCAAATAACACAGCAGACAGGCAAACAAACACAGACAGGCAGGCAGGCATAGACTAAGCATTGAGATATAGACACAGACACAGACACCGGCATAAACACCAATACACAGACAGACAAGGGGAAAGGATGATAGGCAAGAACCGTCAGAAGGAAGGGGGAGGAGGAAATATACCCAATGGGAAATATAAATGGTTCCTCATGGGTACATCTGCGGTATGCCATGGTTCCTTAGCAAGCTTTCTAAGTCCTGCAAACGCTCCGAATGACTCGCGATCAAAGCCTAACATAGGGAGAGAGAGAAAAAGAAATAAACGGGAATTCCCAAAGATAGAGGAGAATGAATATAACCAAATAGCTAAAGAAAATCCCATGACCGTTGTCGGGAAATAGAAAAAAAAATCAATACAAATCTCTATTTGGAGTAAAATTAAGCCTACCATACCTGTTCTCTGGAGATTTTAACGAAGAGCACGGAATTATCAGCGTTTTTTCCCACTCTAGTTGTTTCGCTTTGTTTCTCGGCGTCAGATTAATGGGAGTGAAGTGAGCGGATGACCCCGCGGTTACCACTGTTGGCATAGCGCCCCTCTCGAGAGCTGGATCACAATTGCGTCAGGCTGAGGGCTAATTGCGGTCGTAAGCTCTCCGTTTCCCTTTCTGCTGTCTCTTCTCCGTCTTCGCTTCTTTTCTTTCTCTTTTCTTCTTTCTTCCTTCCGTTCGTTTCTTTTCATTTTTCGTCTCTTGCTTTCTTTCCTTCGTCTTTTTTTCCTACTGTTCTTCTTTCTCTTAGCACCAAATTCCCTTCCTCGTTTTTTCTTGCCATTGTATCTCCCGTTTTCTTTTCCCTCCGTCTTTACCTTTTCTTCCCCTCCTCCTTTTCCTCTTCCCCTCTCCTTCCCTCCCCCTCCCCTTTCCTCTCCTCCCCCTCCCCCTCTGTCCTTTCCCCTCCCTCTCCATCCCCCCTCTAACCGAAACCTACCTATGACGCCATTCCATCGTTACCAATAACAATCCCTAAACATGTAAATGCTTAGAGAACGCGCATTGATAATCAGACAGACAAACTCACTCGAAACGCTCGCCATTGTGTGCGCTATTTCCACACGCGTGCGGGGGAGACGGGAAGAAAGCAGGCCTATCCACAGTACTGACATTTAGGCCTACGGGCAATCTGTACGAGTGGCGCCATTGCGTGGACGGAGAATAGGGACCGCGCCTTCTTGTTTGACATAAGCTTGACATGAGGGTAACAGTGGTAAATGTCAAGAAGGTGATAGATCGTGGTGTTACTTGTTACAGGTAGACATACACAGGCAGACAGACAGGCAGACACACAGACATACAGACACAGTCGCAGATAATTCAACCTTCACCTTTCTCTCTCTTTCCCTTCCTCTCCCTCTCTTTCCTGTTCCCTCACCTCTCCCTTTTTTCCCTTTCCCTTACCTCTCCCTTCGCCTTTCCATCTCTCTCTTTTCTATATGTTTCCGTCTCCATCTCCCTTCCTCATACCCGCCCATACCCGCATGGCGCGCCTCTCCTTCCCCTATCTCCTGCTGCGGGTCAAGGTCGCAGGATGACCTCCCTCGCCTCTTTCCCCAAACCCTTCCCTTACTCCCGCTCCCTCTTATCTTCCGCCTCACTCCTCTCCCATACCGACATCGTGTCCCCTCTCTCCCCTCCTCGTTTTCTCTCCTTCTTGCCTCCCCTCCCCTCCGTATTCTCTCTCTTTCCTTACCTCGTACTCCTCCATCCCTTCCTATCCTCCCTTCCCTTCCCTCTTCTTTTCCCTCCCTCCCTCCCTCCTTTCCTTTCCTTCCCCTTTCCCTACCTATCCTCCTTCCTTCCTCCCCTACCTACTCCTCCTTCCCCTTCCTCCCCTACCTACTCCTCCTTCCCTCCCTCCCTCCCCTTCCGCTCCTCCCTCCCTCCTTCCTCCTTCCCTTCCTCCTCCCTCCACTACTCTCCTCCCTTTCCCCTCTTCTCTTCCCCCTTCTCTCCCCCTCCCTCCCCCCCCTTCCCCTTCCCCCCGCTCCCTCTACCGTTATGCCTGGCCCCTTCCTCACGAGACTGATGGAGACACACGGCTTGACACTCGGGAAAGTAAAAGTGGCGGTTCGTGACAGCCACTTAGGTGTCACGACCCTTGGGGCACGGGGCGGCTGGCGGCGGCCGTTTTGAGACCACGCTCTCCTCCGCCTCTTTTGTTCGGTTTCGTGTTTACGTTCGGCGAAGATTGCCGCCATTTCCTCGGATCAAGTCGGTGGTTTGCTGTTTCTTCTTTATGGCGTTTCGGTCTTCTGTTGTTTGCGGCGTCGATTTGTTGTTGTTTTTTTCGTACTATCTGTATTTTGTTCGGATATTAATGTTATTTTTATTGTTTTTTTCTTACTTTCTAATTTCATTTGCATATTAATTTTCTTTGTTTCAGGTGATATCAAGATAGATTTTTAGAGTAGATTGAAAGCAGAGTTTGACAATCGTTATTTTTTTTATTGTATCTTATTTATTTTTTTCTTCTTCGCAGGTAAGCCAAATGGACCGCTGTGAGGACATGTTGTTGCCGTGCAGGTAAGTGAGTGAGTTTATTCATGAGGCAATTCTGTGGTTTGCAAAAAAGGAGGAGACACCCCGTTCTTGTTCATCCCTCTGATGGTTCCGTATCCGCGTAGGCGTGAATCCCGCGTTCGCGTCAGTACGCTGGGATGAACTGGAGACTTGGGGGGGGGGGTAAGGGGGGGGCCCCCCCCCCCCCGCCCCGCCCCGCCCTCCAAAAAAAAAAAAAAAGGGTTTTTTCGAGGGGGGGGGGGGGGAGGGGGTTTTTTTTTTTTTTTTTTTTGGCCTGGTCCAGATAATGGGTAAAAAAAAAAAAAAAACATTAGGGGGTGAGAGGGGGGCCCCCACCCCAAAAAAAAAAAAAAAAAAAAAAAAAAAAAATACCCCCCCCCCCCGGTTTTTATTTTTTTTATCATTTTTTTTTTTTTTTCTTTTTGTTTGATGGCAGGGGCCATGAAGATTTGTCGAGGGGGGTCCCCCCCCCCAACCAAGTGGACTATCCCCCCCCCACCCCCGCCCCCCCGCCCCCACCCCCCACGCCTTTTTTCCCCCGCCCTTACTCAGAGCTATCCCCCCGACCTTCCCCTCTCCACCGCTCGCGCCCGTGAACCCCTCTCCAGCGTTGCCCCCTCCCCCGCCTTTTTTTTACCGTTTGGGCATAATGTGGTACTAGGACGCCCCCCGCCTAAGAAGTAGAACGCAATTGCCGACTCGTCTGCGTCGGCTATATCAGGGTGTGCGGCTAGAATCATGTGACTTCTACTCGCCCTAAAACGCTGATAGTATAAAACTTCAGGAGTACCGTGAGGTGAGTGGTAACTATGATACTATTTTTCTTTTAAACTTGTACGTTTTTGTAGATTAGTGACTTCCCCCGTCCCCCAGCCGCCGCCCCCCTTTTAGAGATGTCTCACATATGGCAACCCCCCCCCCCGCCTTGCTAGCCTTTCCTACTCCTCTTTAGTCGCTATCTCGTACTCTCTCTTCTCTATCTATTTCTCTCTCTCTCTCTCACCCTCTCTTCTTTCTTTCTTTCTGTTCTTTTCTTCCTTTTTTCTTTCTCTTCAATCTACTCACACTTCTCACACGTCACTCTCTCTCTCCAGTTCTCGTTCTCCCTTCCTCCTCTCTCTCTCCCTCGTCTTCTCACTCTCTCATCACCTCTCTGTCTCTATTCTCTCTCTCGTCTTACCCTCTCATCAAAGTCTCTCTCGTCATGCTCTTCCTCATCTCTCTCTCGCATCCTCTCTTCTACTCTCATCCACTCTTCCTCTCTCTCATCTCTCTCTCGTCTCTCTCTCTCTCATCTCTTCTCTTCTCTCGTCTTCTCTCTCTCTTCTCTCTCTCTCTCATTATCGCTGCTCTCTCTCCCTCTCTCTTTCTCTCTCTCTTTTTCTCATCTCTCTCTCTCTCCTCTCTTTTTTTCTCTTATTCTTATCTCTGTCCTTTTTTTCCGGTTCTCTGTTGATCTCTTTCCCCCTATTTCAGGTCTGAGCCGAACAGCATCCGTGTTTCCAAAT